AAATGAAGATATAGGAGACAGTGATGATGAAAGTGAAGATGAAAATACAGATGCGGATGAGACTAGCGATGAGTGACTTTATATATATAGATGCAACAAAAGATGGTAAAGATTATGATGACTGTAACCAGTGTTTGGGATGTTAATTTAACGCGTTGCGCTTATGTTTTACTGACATTTTTCGAATCGAATGATAACGAGGAAACTGAATATTACATGAGAAAATAAAATAAAAGGCAAGTTTATAATAAAAGAGAAGATCATGTCACAAGGCGTAAACGTTGCAATCTTCTTGATGCTCTTTCATCCGACAATTCAGAAAGTCAACTGTAACCGATTCAGAAGAGCTAAAAAGTCAATTATGATGTTCCCTCAGGAGATTGCCTAACTAAATTTCGGCTCGCGTGTATCGATTTATGCACGGGCCATGTATAATGTATGGGATCCGTGCAACAGACGTAAAAGCAAAGGTTCATGTGTCCACCCAAGCTCACTTGAATTCGGACGATTCATGATAATTTAATATTAAGATGGTGCTAAAAGCTTAACATGAATTAAATCTCTAACTGTCAAAGATGTAACCATGCGATATTGATAAAATCTCATGTTATTTGCATTCTTGCCCGTTATAATGCTGCACTATTTAGATTTCTTCAACTGTTCTTCATCGTCTTTTTGCCTAATTATTAAAGCCACAATTAGTCTGAAACTAGTACTTTTCCAGTTTTGTCCCTAATCATCATTTCCAAAACCAATAGACTTTTTGTGATCCTTACTTGTAAACATACACGTGTTGATGCTTGGACTATCGTTACTGTCACTGCCCCCGGAACTGGTAAACAATTCACTCTCACGTGTAAATCGACTTTTTCCACTCAATATACGATATTAACGCCGCAATCTTTTTTCATGGCTTTTGACTCGCATGCATTCTTTTTATCTGGCATTCCTCTTCCCACTTCGACAAACGTAAAAGACGACAACGACAACACCACTCATACAATGTCTACCTCTTCTTCTAAAGCACCGCGATTGGACACTCTTCAAAGCACTTCCTATGGTGCTATGAACTCGTCCCCCACCAACTTGACCGCTTCACCCGTCGATTTCGCAAACACAAACATACCCACGAGTATAACATGGTTGCTGATGTATACTTCCCCTTTCATACACTCCCTCTCGTACTTTCTAAGTCTGATTACGTGGTCCACGCCTAACACTAGCGAGTCGTGCTTGCTGTTAGCCGCTTGGTGGTCTGTTTGTCTATTTCCGAGACAGATCTTGGTTTATGGAATTCATCTGTTACTGCTTGCGTGGATCGGCTGGCATTGGCTCGAGAAAAAGAAAAGAGAAAAATTGGGTGAATAACTTTTCATACTATTGGTTGAATAAGTTTTCATAGTACTGGTTTGAAATCTTTTTTACTCGGTCATTACATCTTTTTTACTCGGTCATTACAATATTAATATCTTTTTTACTCTTTTCCGTAACATACTATTTTTTTTCCCGCTCTTTATACAATAACTGTGTAGGAAAGCCTGATTCAATCTTACGCGCAATTTCACAACAAGATCTAAACAACACGGTTTGCGAAATCGAAAAAAATATCCGCGAAATTGTCAGACTTTTCCGAGTTTATGACTACGTTTCAACAGAAAATCGACTGGTCGGATCCGGTACAAACACAAAGAGTAATGTTTGGTTTGCTCTATTCTTACCCCTTCTGGCTCGCATTTAATTATTTTGTCTCTTTAACGTGGACATTTATCATAATCGGTACTCTGGCGTTAATATGGAATAGTCCATGGTTTAGAGTTATTCAGCATGTTTCAATGCAGAATGTGTTTATTAGAGGTTGTGTTGTGTTCATAGTTGGTTTCGTATGGGTTGGTAAGTTTCAACCAGAGGGTGTCAGAGGGTTCTCTGTTGCTGCGCTGGTCAGAAAAGCCAAAGACCAACAAAGGAGGAATGTGTCAAAAAAGACAAATGGCAAAGATGGGTCGAAGAATTCAACGGAAATGGTTTATAGCTTTGTACTATATGAAAATCAGAGATGGTGGCTGGGATTAGACTGGACTACAAATCTTTTTCCCAATGAGAGGCCCGCATGGTAGGTTGATGGCTCCATCTGATCAGTTAATCTATTTTAGCAAATTTCGTTCATTAACAAAGGCCTGGCTTCATCCATATACTCCAAAGGTCTGACGAATACAACGAAGCAACTAATAACAAGGACTCTTTCCAACTTCCTCCTCCAGACACTTCGATCACAGTCCCACAGGATAATCCAAACGTCATGGTTCGTAAGACTACTGAATGGCGATGGGTAGATCCAGACTGGTGGATAGACATGGACGGTAATGTCGACAAGGATGGGTGGGAATATGCTGATAATCACTGGAAAAATTTTACGGGTAAAGGTGGCTTCCGTCGCTACACGCGTCGAAGAAAATGGATACGAACAGCACGATGTATCGAGACACTCGAGAAAAGGGACATCAATACATCCGCAACGCCGTCTCATTCGAGTGAGAGTCGGGACAAGGGATCGAGTTCAAGTAGCAGTCCGCAGACTCTATCGGCAAGCAATCGGAGTATGCGCACTATATCAAGAGGCCCTGATGGAAAATTCGAGCTTAGTGCAATCGAGGACGTAAAACCGACACCGAATGGAGGAAATATTGGGTCGTAGAATGAGAAAGGGTGTGGGGTGAGAGGATGGGATTATGGATCTGTGTTGTTTATAAATTCTGGTGCTTGGTCTATTTGATATATATATTTTTTCTTTTTCGAGGAATTTTAAACATTTTCCTAATAACACTAATAGGTAGATCATCATTAATGATGAAAATAGAAAATCTTTATGACTACGAAATCGCTTAATTTTCTATTTCCGGTAAAAAAGCAGTTTAATATTTCGTATGTACTCCTTTAATAAGTAAACCAAGTTTGAATGATCTGTGAAATGTATAAAACTTGCTAGCTACCAATCTACTTCCTCTCATCCTTCCCTCCGCTTTTGATAATCTCTGCGTAAGATGATAACACCGTTGGTAAGGTGTCTAGCGATACGGGAGCGGCAACATTTAATGCCTAGAACATTGTGAACGATTTCTTACACTGCTGTTGATATATTGGTATAAGTTTTACTCTTTATTGCAAGACATGACAAACATACAAAATAACTAGACTTGCTAAAATGGATTATTTGAGAGATGTAAGTTTTGTGATGCATTTTGTCGACGTGAAGACTTATATGCATTTCTCGCACGTTGATAATGCTCACATCGAAAGCTCGCATAGTATTATAAGTATTGTTACATGAATTTATTCTACAGGAAGAGAAAAAGATCTAGGAATAAAACTAGACTGCTTACCTGATTGGATTGGATGCAGTCATACTTTTTAGAGGGCAAGCAGAACGATTACGCTCGTTCCCTATCTGATCAATAGTCCAAATACCATCCATCAACTTATAGTCTAATATTCAAAGTCCAATATTTCATCAACACACTCCCAGAAGCTCCAACCCAACAAAGACACAGCAACCATTGGAAAAACTTTTTCCAAGGTCTAATATTGTTCTTGCGTTCTTCCTGTTTTTCATGTGCTTTATACACTTCAAGCTCATTGAAGCAAATTTCTCGCTGCCGATAGACGGAATTTTTATTCAGATGAAAAGGTCAGTTTTGCAGTTTTACCACCCCTTCAGTTTTTCTCCCAGTGATTAAAAGTAAAACCACTCACTTCTACCAATACACAGAACTTCCACCATGCTTTAAGGTGTTCCGGGCGACGTACTGACCAAAGAAGCACCAGTAGTACTAGAAGTTCGATAACTCTGCAAGAAACCTTATACATTTACAAACGTTTTCGGTTCCTAAAAAACAATTATGTTATTATATTTTTATGTCGACGTAGAGTGTAGGTAAACCGAAACAAACACGAGATTTTAACGTGACGTGTTTGTGGATTCCAATGTACATATATGGGAAACTGTATGACACGCACAGCGATTGATCTTTTTGATAAATGTTACCATAATCTCAAAAGCAAAGATACGCGAATTTCGAAATACACGAGTAAAAAAGCTTTTGCGGCATGATGAATTTTGATGCTTAAGCGACAAAACTGGAAAAGACATTGTAAACATCACGTGATATTTCCATAAATACTGACATTAAGCCAAGAAATCAGCTGTCATAAACGTACTAGTGCTGGGATTCAAAATTGCTGTGAGTAACTATAATAGCTTTTAATAATAACGTTACGCTAACTGAAACTGTTTGGAATTCGGCAAGTGAATTGACACGTGTGAAACTCAAAAAGATGGTCGACGAACAAGATGATCTTTCTATCAGGCAGATCAATTCTAGAATAATCTGCATAAAATCTCGAAATCTGATTGGCGCTCGACTGTTAGCATAGAGAATTAATACTTCGGAGTAAAATTGTATTCGATTTGTGACAGAAATCGCCGAGAGAAACGGGGGTCCAAATCAAATTTGATCCTGCGCAGGTTAAAGTATGAAAACAAGTCTTTTTTTATTTACAAGTAATTATTAACTTTCGTACTAGAGTTTGTTTCAATAGGCCTTCATCAAGACTTGCGGCTAGAAGAATGTTCTGCTCGACGCCACCTGATTTAACGATGATTGAAATTGCCGATGAAGAACAAAAGCAATGATTAAAGCCTGGGTTCGCAATCTAACTGAAGAAAGGATTATGACTTCCCGATCTTAACTTTTAAATCAACATCAAGGCCACGGCACAATATTAAAAGAATTTTACAAAACATTCAAATCGTTAATTTCTTCCACACCTTCACAGCGTCATCTCTTTTAGGCGATTTACAAAAAATCACGTTATCAAGTCTGTCCGTGATGACTTAATGAACTCTTCAAGAAGTTAGAAATGTATTGTCCGAAAACATTATTAATTTGTATAATACTAATAAAGAAGGACAAAGTTGAAATATGTTGTCCGAAACATTATTGATAGAACTTTTCCTACAAAGATTTCTAGAATTTCCAAAAATTTTACTATCATAAAAAGAAAAATCTGCATCATCCGAATCGGGGAATATCTTTGACCGTAGTATAGTGGTAGAATACTCGCCATCCAAGTAAGCTGCCTTAATTCAACTCCCGGATGATGCAGTATGTTAAATTGCCAAATGTGGCATGATTTGCTAAGCTCGCATTGTGCCGACAGGCCATAAATCAGGCCACATCACATATCAGACCATACATCGTACATGCATTTTGGATTCAACAAGAAAATACAAAAAACCAAGTAAAACTGACAAATGCTCTTGAAAGGTATATTAGAGAAAGAAAAGCTAGTAAAATGCGACACACAAGCATAGATCAGTATTTTATGCAATGATTATTACTATCGTCGTTATTTATTGTCATCACGTGATTTACTAATACTAACTTGTAACTCACGTTTTCAACAATTCCCAGAAAATTATCCGATGTACTATCACCTCGACAAGATGAAGTCATATTATTGAAAGATCATAACAACGAGAGATCTTGTTATATTATAACTGACTTGATTCCGGGAAAAAGCATCATATTAGGCCAACTTTATCTTATCGAAGGCATCTCACTATATGTGAACGTCATAACCATATGTGTACATAATGACTATATTAACATGTGAACGTAATGATTATGTGCGAACATAATATGGTGCAGATCATCTAAAGCTCGAAATAAATTAACCAACTTTCAAAACCCTAAGGCTTTTCTATTAAATGATATGGAGAAAAACTAATCCGTAAGAATGATAGAACAGATGATGCAGAACAAAAGTTACGGTTTAGATTTTTTAGTCAACTAAAAAAGTTTTGAGTTTTAGGGATTTGAAAAGTGACAGTTTTCTTATGTTTTCTTAAGTTTCCTTATGAAAAATAGAAAATTTCGGACACACCGGTTGTGTAACTTTCGTGTGTAACAATCCGTTATCCAATAAATGCATGTAGTTTTCATGAGCATTCTCTATTGTTTCGCTATGCCTCGACCATCTAAAAGAAAAGCCGCACACAAAAAAGTGTCACGAAATAGGGAGGCAGATTGATTAGTGAACTTGATTTATCAATACTAATACTAATACAGATGCAGGCACATTGGAAATAACGGAGACGGAATTGGGTGACGATTTATTAAGCGAACAACTTTGGGAAAATGATGAGGTAAGTGATTGGGGAAGTGATGTTGATTCAGAGGAAGAACAAGATATCTGTAACAGACTTTCGAGGAATGATGTTTGGTTAAAGTGGAGACCAAATGCCAATTTAGAAAAAAGCAGCCGTGGTCTTTATAAAGTAGGGAAAATGCCAAAATCGACATATTATGAAAAGTGGGGCCCAAGTGGTTCGTGGACAGCAGCAGCAAAGGGGTTTCCAAAATTAGAAAGTTTTTTTAGTCAAGCTGAAAGAAATAATCAACAAGTCGAATTGGTACAAGATATTTCATCGGATGAAGAAATTGCTTTGCCATCGGAGAACATGGTTTTGAGTTTGGAAAAAGATTTAAAGGAAAATTTTACTACAATGTCAGCAAACGAATATATTTGGAAGAAGCTATTTTTGAGTATTTTGTGCGTTTAATAAAGGGGGAGAAAAAAAATGAAGGCAAGTATGGAAGTGGTGAAAATAGTATATAATAGCAATAGTAAGTCAAAAGCTACCCGGGTTTGCGAGATGGCAAAGTATTGGTATAATAATCATATGTTGCCTATATCTCGTCGCGGAAAACATCAGAAACTTAGCAGAATAATTGATAATGAAGATACAGCAGAAAAATGTCATACATGGATTCGTGCGAACGGAAACCATACCACGCCGCATCAATTCAAGAATCGTTATTACCAGGAATGGGTATTAACAAGACAATCAGCCTAAGTACAGCACAACGATGGTTAAATATTCTTGGATGTCATTATCAACAACAAAAACAAGGAATATATTATGATGGACATGAGAGAGAAGATGTTTTTGAATATCGGCGTATATTTTTATCAGAAATAGCCAAGTTCGAAAAATATATGGCAACTTATGAAGGAGAAAATATGAAGAGAATTGCACCTATTTTAAATTTAGGAGAGAAGGAACACATATTAGTATTTCATGATGGATGCATGTAACTGTCAATCG